CTTCCATCCATCATCCATCCATCAGCCATCATACATCCTACCATCAGGCCATCCATCCATCATCCAACCACCAACCTCCATCCATTATCCATCCATCATCCATGAATCCATCTTCCATCCATCATCCATCCATCAGCCATCATACATCCTACCATCAGGCCATCCATCCATTCATCATCCATCTAGCCATCTTCCATCCATCCATCTTCTATCCAACCATGATGGTTCATCATCCAACCATCTATCTTCGATCCATCCATCATTCATCCATCATCCATCCATCTATCCATCCATCTTTATCTTCTGCTTGTTCTGGACTCAGGTCTTGGGGGCAGCAGCTTGATCAGGGAGGTGCAGACACCTCTCTCCACAGCCACCTTTTCCAGCTCTTCTGGGAGGACTCCAAGGAGTCCCCAGGCCTACCAAGAGATGTGGTCTATCTGACGTGCCCTGGGTCTTCCACTGGGTCTCCCAGTTGGACCTGTTCAGAACATCTCCCTAGGGAGGTATCCAGGGTCCATCCTTACCAGATGCCTGAACCACCTCAACTGGCTCCTCTCGTCTCTCCAGATTAACTGAACTTCTCACCCTATCTCTAAGGGAGAGTCCAGCTACCCTGCAGAGAAAACTCATTTAGACCTCCTGGATCCAGAATCTGGTTCTTTCAATCTCTACCCAGAGTTCATGGCCATAGATGAGGGTAGGAACGTAGACCAACTGGTTAACAGAGAGCTTTGCCCAACAGCTCAGCTCGCTCTTCACCACAACGGACCGATACAGAGTCCACAATACTGCCGACGCTGCACCAATTCGTCTGTCAATCTCACGCTTCATTCTTCCCTCACTCGTGAACAAAACCCTGAGGTACACGAACTCCTCCACTTGAGGCAGAACCTCACCCTCGACTCAAAGAGAGCAATCTACCCTTTTCAGACTAAACAAATTTACACCAAACTATATTCACCTACAGTAATTAATTGTGGAGTTTTATGAGTTAAAATCTCCCATCTTTACTTTGACAGAGTTGAGTTTAAGCTGATTAAGAGATAACGTAACAAAAATGTAACTCAGATGAGCCTGATTGGCGTTAATGTCAAAATAAAATACCGGTACACTTTGACCACTGTCACACTGATCTGGCAACCCTCTGTGTGTGTATCTGTGTGTGTACCTGCGTACAGGACAGGTAAATATCCAATCACAGTCTCCGATCAGTTTGGGGTACACGTTAACTGGCCAGGAGTGAACGCTCACAGCTGAATGACACGAGACAGATGTTAGTGCCAGGTCTGAACAGGACCAAGTCACACACTCACACACACATTCTTGTAAACGTACTTTTTGGGGGACTTTGCATTGACTTCCATTCATTTTCTATAGCCTAACCCTGACCCCCCAACAAGATTTCTCCTTATGGGGACCTTGCTTTGGTCCCCATAAAGAGCAGCTGGTTCCCATAATGCATGATTTTTTTCTAGAATTGGTCCTTACAAGGTAACCTGAATCACACACACACACACACACACACGGAGCGTAAAAGATGCTGAAGGTGAGGCCACGCAGCTCGTTGACTCGTGCGGTGAGCACCGTGTGATTTCCTGCCGTGCCCTCTGAGTCACGTCTTTTCCTCTGACGGATCGCTGGCTGTGAGCCAACCGGACGGAGCCGGTGGTGGTGGGTGGCGGGGCTGGCATGACTCACTCCTTTAACCTTTGATGCTGTTGTTGTTTCCGTTAGTCCCTGCTGCTGTTTAAATCGTTACTTAGGTCTGGAGATGATTAGACGTTCAGTCGTGACTCCATCAGTTCAAGGAGCCACAATAAACAGTCCCACCAGCAGCACCTTCACATAGTGGACCAACCAGTTTGATGGTGATAAGATGGTTTCTGGAGTCCACCCTCTCCCCCGTCGACTCCTCTGAGGCAGCTCTAACTCCGGCTCCACCTTTTGTTTTGCTCTTTTTCGGCTCATTTGATCTAAATCAAACACTTGTGTTGTTGCCGTGTTTTGTTTGATGACAACACTCGAGGCAGCGGAGCCGCAGTAAATGAATCGTGTGAGTAAAACCAGTCGGCACGAAGCTGAGAAAACAGGAAAAGGAGAAAGCGATTTGTTGCTTTTACAGAATCAAAGGTTGCTGGTTGGGACTTCTTGGTGGGGTTTGTGCCTGGATCGATGACATCATAGTGTTCAGTTTGTCCTTCAAAGCTCCGACGGTCTCGTGTCTTTCCATCTCCATTTCCTCGAGCTCCGTCGGTGCTTCTCTTCTGGTAGATTGCTCCCTCCGTTTCTTCCGGATATGCATTATTCCCTCTCCTCCAGTCTGTCCGACCTCATTTATCTCAGGGCCTCGCCGACCCCCCCACCTCGGCCTCTTTCTCTAATAGCCTGGTTTGTTCGCTCAGCTTTTCCATTATTTGATGCTTCCTCGTCTTCGTTTGTCTTTTTCATCCTTCCCTCCCTTTCATTTCGCCCGTTTTCATTCCCTTCAGCTCTCGTCTCTCTCTGACCTTTCCTTTCTTGCAGTTTCATCTCGTTTCTTCGTCACGGCACCTCCCTGTCTCTCTCCTTCCTTTCAGCGAGCGCGTCGTCTCTTCGCGTCTCTGGCCCTTCATCTCACAAAGGCCGGCTGATGAAGAGGACGAGGACGTGTCTCCAGGGACATTCGGCGGTGAGCTCTGTCTCTACCGGCCTGTCTGCCAGGCGAAAAGTTTGACACCATCCATCACAAAGTAAGAGTCACTGTCTTCAAACACAAAGACTGCAGCCTCGCCTTTAGTCTGATGCTTCTCAATCAACATTAAATTTGATGTTTGGTTTGTGGAGAATAATTCAACCGAAGAGGTTTCAAACCATCAGCTGAGCTGGTTCACATCGTCACTCCCACTAGAAGAAGATGCTGTTGTTTTAATCTTATAATGCTCAAATTTTAATCCGCTCCTAGATTTCACTTCCAGCCATAGTCGGAGCAGCACCAATGTTTTGGCCCATGGCTGTTTTGTAGTGTTAGCATAATATCTCATGGACCACAGGGCATAGTTCAATGAAACAGGAAGTATTTTCAGGATCAGAATCAGAACAAGATTTATTATCATTGTACCGAGATACAGTGGAATTGTGTTCGTACAGTCGTCTGAAAGATGGGCGGAGTGCACGTAGCTGCTGCTACAGGAGCGCGGCCCCTTATCCACGATTCAAGACATAAAAAAACTCTGCCAGCAGCACATTTAAACACATTACATGCATTTGATGACAAGATGATGAGATTTGTCCATGAAGCACTTCCAGATAGACCATAGTCCTGATAAGATGTTGGTCAGCCGGCAGTTCTGTTAAGCTTTCACAAAAGTTCTCGTGGTGGTGGTGGTGGTGGGGGGGGTGGATAGATGAAGCTTTTCCTTAATTTACTCATGTCCCAGGAGAAATTTGATAGTCAGCTGCATTCGAGGCCAAACAGGGGAGTCGGATTCAAATAAGCCACAATCGTTGATTTTCTTCAGGCAGAATGTTTTTTTCTTGTCAGCCTTGAGTCCCGCTGGAACCTTTGATCCAAAATGGACAGATTTGTGGGCGTTCCACTGATCCGTGCTATGAGCCTCCTGCAAGGTCGTCTCCAACATGCTGGCGAGTCCTAGAAGTCGCAGGTGGTCTGCAATTCTCACAAATCGCTTCCATCTTATGGTTTAGCTCGTAAATCAGCTGATTTTGAGTACTCGTAGCACGAACCAAACCTTCAAGGCAGGCAGCCTGACGAGGGCCAAATTAGGTGCAGTTGTCTTCTTTGTATGTTGATAAACCAGGAACCAGCCGATTCCAAAAAGCAGGAAACCTGTCATCATAAATCCAGTTATATATGCCTTTGGCGTCCTCCTGAGAAGCTCCCACATCCATGACGTATCCTGCAGCGTGAGTCTTAGCAGGACACGAGGGCTCTCCAGGACCCTGTCGCTTTGTTGAAAAGATTTAGTCGATTACGTTGAAAGTCTAGCTCACCAGATCCATAATCGTATTTTTTGTTGGGAAGATGTGTACCAGGAGCTCCGAGACACAGACAGAGCGTAAAAAAGCAGGAGGAAGAGGAGAACTAGGGAGGGAGAGAAAAGGCGTCCGCCTTGTGCGAATGCGAGTGCAGAAAAATGTTATTCACCGTACGGCTACAGCTGATTGATTTTTGCATCAACCCAATTCAAGATGGCTGTCACGACTTAACCACCTTAGCCATCACAAAATCTGGTTTGAGTTTAAAACTGGCAAAGAAGGAAAACTGTAGCTAGAAACTAAAGCTAGCTACAAGTATTACATCTAGAGGGGTGTCCAAAGTGTGGTCCAGGGGCCATTTGCAGCCCTCCGAGTCCTTTTGTGTGGCCCACGACTGGAATTTAAAAATGTGCATAATTTTGTCCCCCGGGCTTAAGAAGTTGCTGATATTCTTATTTTTATTTTTTATTTTAATACAAAATTCAAGATGACTTAATCTTATAATGTGCGATAACGAACAATTTCTTTTGTCGTCTTTATTTAACCAAAACTTCCTTCCTGATGAAAAGGACCACAAAACTTTACCAACTAGAAGGAAACTGGACTTCATTAAGGAACGAACATAATTTAAATATAATTTAATCACAGCCTGTTTCAGAGCTTCACGTTTGGAGCGGGTCGTCAGTGGTTCCAGGAGGTTTTAGAAAAACTCTCAGGCGGGATTTGAACTGCGATCCAACATCGTTTTCAGTCCAGGGACGCACCACCAGACCACACAACCGCTTTATACGGACTGTTTTCAAAGAAAACGACTTATTGAGCTTTTGTTCTGGAGAATGGACTAAAATGAACTTTTCAAACGCAGGAAAACAAAACAAAAAAACAAACAACTCAAAGGAACTAAAGTCTTTTTTTTAATGAATAAGACAAATAATTGTGAGTTTTTAAACTTTCCGCAAAAATATACCTTTACCCTTCCGCTATAATTTAGTTTTTTATTATGTATTTTTTTAAGCTAAAACTCTAATTTATCCTGCAGGAACTTCCAATTTGACTATTTTGGCATACAAGTAAAGTTTGGACGCCACTGCTAAAAGCTAAAAGTAACTAAAAGCTAATGCTAAGCTAAAATTGGCAAAAAGACTAGATGTATCAGAAGGTTTGCAAGAAACTAAAAGTAGCAAAGGCCCTAATAGGAGCTAAAGACAGCAGAACAGTAGCTAAAAGATAAAAGTAACATAAAAAAAGACAAAAACTAATCAGTTTTCTGAAGCAGATGTCAAAAGAGAAGGATGTTTCTGAAGGAACTGAACATCTCCACGGGAAAAACACGTTTTCACATTTATAAAAGGTTACAAAAACCAAGTGACAGCAGCCACCTCCTGAAAGAGCCGAACGTTTTGACTGATGAGCAGCTAAAGTCTGCAGAAGTTCATGAAAACACTCAAACAGGTTTTGTGTCTGATGCTCCTCCTAATATTCTAACAAAACTAAATGTTTTTACTGACCGTCGTCACTGTTGTCGTCCACCAGGATGATCTCTTTGAGCAGGTGGGCCGGCGTGTGATTGACAGCTGAGTGGACCGAGCGCAGGATCACCGACAGGGCCTCGTTGACGAAGATGAAGATGAGGGAGATTTGGGGGAGGTCTCTGGAGTAGTTGACCTTTCTGCATCTGGAGGAGAAGAAGCAAACAGACACTTATCCTTCAAAAGCCCCGTAACCCGTGCAGCTTTCAGCGTGTGCTTCGAGCAGAAAAACCATCCCTGCTGCTGGTTAAACAGCGCACGCTGTGCGCTCCAAAAGTTAATTAAGTAGCAAAACGTCAGCTAAAATCTAGAAGAAACAAAAGTCTAGCTAAGTTAAAACTAACAAATAAGTGCAGCTTGAATGCTAAGTGCTGAATAACGTTAATGAAATTTACAAAAGAAGCAGAGGCCAAGTATTAAAGCTGAAGGAAGGAAACACTAGCTCAAAGCCAAGCAAAATGCAAACATAAAGTTGAAAACAATACCTAAAATACAGCAAAGTAAGAAAAGCTAGCTAAAAGCTAAATGTACTAAAAAAAAAGAAACTAAAAGCTGAAAAGGCTGACTTAAAAATAGCAAAAGACTAGCTTAAAGTTAGCTGTAGCTAGAAGCTAAAAGTAATTTAAAGGTGAGTTAATGCTGAAATGTGTAAAACACTAGCTAAAAATAGCAAAAAAAAAATTCACAAAAGGCTAGCTAACAGCTAAATGTAGCAAAAGGAAAAAGAAACTAAAAGCTGAAATGGCTAAGTTAAAAATTGCAAAAGACTAGCTAAAAGTAACAAAACAATAGCTTGAAGCTAAACATAATTTAAAGGCTAGTTAATGCTAAAAGTTGTAAACCACTAG